GCATCATGACTCAGGAACAGCGTTGCTTCCCTGTCCGTCCCGTGACTCACAAAAACTCACAAAACTCCCCCGCTGCGCTATCCGCCGATTGTTCGCACGTTCCGGCCCCCGTTTGTGCTTCCCTTGTGGGCACCGTCTGCCTCCCTACCCCTTCCTACCTGGCTAGACGTCCCTCACCCTTACTGACCGAGTGCCGTCCTTCTTCACCTAAGCTTCATGCCCAGCATGGGGCCCAACTTGGGGCTTAAACTCATGACCTTGAGATCAAGACCTGAACTGAGATCAAGCATTGAACACTTAACCCACTGAGCTACCCAGGTGCCTCTCTCTTTCCTTTCAAAACAAAAAAAATTATATTAAATACTATTTTGATTTTTTTTTAAAGTTTGTTTATTTTGAGAGAGAGAGAGAAAGAGTGTGTGCTGAGGAGAGGCAGAGAGAGAGAGAGAGAGAATCCCAAGCAGGCTCCGCACTGTCAGTGCTAATCCAGACATGGGGCTCAATCCCACGAACCATGAGATTATGACCTGAGCCAAAATCAGGAGTCAGGTGCATAACTGGCTGAGCCACTCAGGTGCCCCTTGTTTTGATTTTTTTTAATTTTTAATTTTATTTTTTATTTTCTAAAATATAATCAATTGTCAAATTGGCTAACGTAACAATGTGTACAGTGTGCTCTTGGGGGTAGATTCCCATGATTCATCGCTTACATAACACCCCGTGCTCACCCCAGCAAGTGCCCTCCCCAGTGCCCGTCACCCGTTTCCCCTCCCCGCCCACCGCCCATCAATCCCTCAGTTTGTTCTCTGTATTTAAGAGTCGCTTGTGTTGGGGCACCTGGATGGCTCAGTCGGTTGAGCGTCCAACTTCGGCTCAGGTCACGATCTCACAGTCTGTGGGTTCAAGCCAACTCAGAGCCTGGAGCCTGTTTCAGATTCTGTGTCTCCCTCTCTCTCTGACCCGCCCCTGCTCACACTGTCTGTCTGTCTGTCTCTCTCTCTCTCAGAAATAAATAAAACATTAAAAAATAATTAAAAAAGAAAAGAGTTGCTTGTGGTTTGCCTCCCTCCCTCTGTTTGCAACTGTTTTCCCCTTCCCCTCCCCCATGGTCTTCTGTTAAGTTTCTTGGGATCCACATATGAGTGAGAACATATGGTATCTGTCCTTCTCTGACTTATTTCACTCAGCATCACACCCTCGAGTCCCATCCACGTGGCTGCAGGACCATTTCTTTATGACTTGAGAAGACGTGTAGCGTGCATCATGAAGCGTGGAAAACATCGTCGTCGTCTCTTTGCTGGCTGACTACCACCCGTGGTGGCTCAAAACAATGGCTCACTGTGACCTCTCGTGGCTCTGGGAGCGGCCGGGCTCAGCTGAATGGCTCTGGCGCATTTCAGTCAGGGGGCGGCTGCTACCCGAGTCCCCGCGAGGCGCGGGCTGGCTGGTGGCGGGCACCCAGCGGGGGCCCCCGCCGCCTGCATCCCGCCTCTCCTTGCGAGCTTTCCGTCAGGTTCCAACAGGGAGCATGGACCCAGACGCCCGGAGGGGGCTGCCTTTCTGTGACTCAGCCTCGGAAACCCCAGGTCACAACTTCACTAGATGCCGGCGGTGAAGCCAGGTGCCAGGTCGCATCTGGATTCAAGAGACGGAAACCAGACTTCACCTCTTGACAAGAGAGGAGCACACGCATGTTGGGAGGAAAGGAGGGGAAAGTGCCGTCTTCCAAGGCCATCGCCTGAAGCCAACATGGCACCAACATACACGGTCTGCTGGGTCTCAGCCGCCCCGCCGTCCAGCACCCCCCATCCAGCACCCCGCATCCAGAAACCCCCATTCAGCACCCCCATCCAGCACCCCCCTGCCCAGCCTCAGCAAGACTCAGATGTGCTCCCCCAAACAGGACAGGTCCCTGCCTGCGGACTGCACCGTCAGGGACTGTTGAGCAGGAGGGCCGGGCCCCCCCGGCTGTGGAAGGGGTGTTGGCTTGTCCAGCCACCTGCTCGTGGCAGCCACGGGTCACCTGTGTGCATCACCTTCCGACACGAACCTCAAAGCTGAAAGCCCAGCACATCCTTTGTCGTCCTTTAAGGAAACAGTACAAACCGTGAGGAAGTCAGTTTGACGGAGAAACTCTCTTTACACGACTGTTGTTCGAATACATTGAGATTTTGACGATTTTGTAATTTTTATAATTTAAGAGGTTGTTTATTCATAACTGTAGACATCTCCCAAGTCCCTGTTTTTCCTTTTAACTTCGTCCTCCGTAAGGGAGCCAGTGCGGATTCTCTGTGGTGTCTGCCTGGCCGAGGCCTCACTCTGGGGCTGCCTTTCGAGGGTCCCACGGCGGAAGGGCTCCTCTCGAGCCCCGTGCTGCAAGCGGGCGGTCAGCCCACACGGTCACTGATAAGGTCTGAAGTGCGCACAACACCCTCTCCATACAGCAAACAGCCTCACCCCAGAGTCTAAAGCAGTTCTTTATGGTTCCGATGTTCACTTACCAAACCACACCTGGAATTTGTTCGGAACGAACTTTGCATGTTCACCGTCAGACTTCCGGGCTGGAACACTGCGTATGGAAAACGCATACCTGCACCCGTATTTCCTGCTTTTTAGGCAGCTCACCGTGTCTGTGCAAATGAGCAGCACGGTTTAAACGTGAGCGAGAGCACGTAAGGGTGAGGCCTCGCGGGGGTTTTGATCCGGGCAGTTTCTAGAGAGAGCTGAGCTTCCTAGGGATGACCTATAATCTGGATTTGCTCGAAACACGGAAGGGCTCCTGAGGCACAGGACACAGCAGCCACGTGCAGGCCGGTGAACCCCAGGGGAGTGGCCTCTGCGGTGCGGAGGTTGAATGCAGGGGGCAGGCCCCCACTGACCCCCCGTAGATCCATGTCTCCCGGGGGTAGAGGAGCGCGAGGGGAGGGGTGGAGCCTGCGGAGGTTTCTCCCACCTTCTACCTGCTCTCGCTCCACTTCTGAAGGGTGGCCCACGTGTTGACCACAGGTGTCCCTGCTCCCTGGGTCAGGTCCCGTGACTGAGCCCCTGCTCGGCGGCTTCCCCGGGATTGCACAGCTCGGCTCTTCTCAACAGGCTACTTTACTGTTTTTTGGGTCTTAGCAAAATCAGATTTCTTTTTCTTTCTTTCTTACTTTTTAAAAAAAATGTTTATTTTACTTATTTTGAGAGAGAAAGCACAAGCAGGGGAGAGGCAGAGAAAGAGGGAGAGAGAGAATCCCAAGCAGGCACTTTCAGCACAGAGCCTCATGCGGGGCTCGAACCCTCGAACCGTGAGATCGTGACCTGAGCTGAAATTCAAGAGCCGGATGCTTTCCCGACTGGGCCCCTGGGCGTCCCTCCTTTTTGATGCAGACCAGGTCCAAGTCCGGGGCTGTGACTGCTGCGGAAGGGCTTCCTTGCCGTCCGCCTGCCAGACACGGCCATCGCAGGCGGTGTTGGCGGAGTCAGAGAGCAGGAAAGCCACGGCCATCACAGGTGGTGGCGGGGTCAGAGAGCAGGAAGCACATGTCCTGCTAGGTGGCCTTTCCAGCAGCTTCCACCTCCAGCAAGGGGAAGAAGCGGGGGGGGGGGGGGGGGCGAGGAGGCGATGCAGGAAGCAGAGTGGGGAGGCGCTCCCTTTGCTCTCCACCCGCCCACGTGCTGTGCAGGGCAGGGACGAGAGGGAAGTCACACGGAGGCGGTCCTCTCAAGCAGAAGAGGGGACAGGGCACCTGCGTCCATGGAAATCTATGAAGCTCCGTCAAAGGACAACACCTCGGGACCCAGTGAGGAGAGCTTTTTATTCCAAAGGACCCCTGGGAGGCGATGGGTCCCGGTGACCAGAAGGTCTGCGATCGGCTCGGGATCAAACACAAAACGCGTCTCGCGCTGCAGGGTGAGGTCAAGAAGCAGAGACGCGGCCAGTTCCGCCAAGAAGAGTGACCCGCCGAGGTCACCCATGTCCCGGAGCAGCTGACGGCACGGGCGCCTCGGTTCCGTGCTCGCTAGGGCGGGGGCAATGTGGAGGGTCTGCGGGGGGCATGGAGCCTGCCTAACGGGTGTCCAGACGGCACAGGGTGAGCACCGGGCTGTGGTGGGCGCCAGGGGAGCTCGGCGAGGGAAGGACAGACGCCCGGCTCCGCGGACGGACCGCGCCGGCCACCCCGGTCTCCGGTCGTACTGACCCTTGGGTCCCTTCCCTCTAGAACCTCTGGAACTTCCTGAGCTTTGATCCGCAGCAACACACTCCATCATGATCAACACCTTTATGACTCCAGAATTTTCTTTCCATGTCTTCTTGTTTTTTGTCTTTTGCTGCATTTTAAACCACTGACACCTAAAAATGCGTTCCCCAAGTGACTCATCGGTCACTGCGTCTAACGACAGGGCGCTTATTACCTCTGTCACCTCCATCTCACAAGGTGACATGTCTGGGTTTCAGGGACTTGTGTTTGTGACCCGACTAACATGACGAGAAGTAGCATCTCTGCTTCGATGGACCCTGAGTTTCTCACGCCGGGGCCGCCACCCTACCCAGGACGAACCGTGGCGTGGCGAGGGTCAGCGGCCTGCCTATGGGGGCACGGGTTTGGGGGGAAAGGCGGGCACAGGGGCTCTAGAGGCTGCCTCATGTACCCCCTCTCCAAACACTTCTTCATCCTCCAGGCAGTTGGCAGTGCTCTTGCTCACGTGGAATAAATAGGCAGGTGGGGGCAGGTTTGGGTGCAAGCCACTGGTGGCCACACGTGGCAAAGCAGCTCACAGCCACCCCAAGGAGCACCGCCCGGCCTCTCTCCTCCATCCGGCTCTGCCGCCGGCGTGACTCTGCTTGCCTGAGTCATATGATTATTCTCCAACCTACGGGACATACATGGTTAACCTTCTGCATTTGGGTAAATAGGCGTGACTTTTAAGTAGGAAGTGCTGGTACTTCAGCCACTTGCTTTTGGCCCCTTCTGGTCTCTCACTGCTTTTTTCTTAATGACTGTCAGAAACCGCGTCTTGCTAAGAGCATCACAGAGGGACGCGAAGCATCGGGGGCGCGGGACAGGACCATTCCCGTCGGATTGCGGCCTTTCTCAGGTGAGCACGGCCAAGCCCTTCACTGCTTTGAAAAGCATCTTTGGCTTTGATACCCTCGCCTGCGGAGTGTCCGGCGCGGAGCTGCTCTGCTCCTGGGGACACTGGTGTGGGGGCTGCTGACGCCTGGTGAAACTTAGTCTTGCTTTCGCGAAGACGCTGGCCTTCTGGTTTGAGTAACGGGCCGCGCTGTCGGGGACCTTGCCTTTCCTCTCAGCGTGCAGGCAGTGATTTTATCTGCGTCGAACGATTTTGGCATCGCTTCTTCATGTGGTTAAATACCCACAGGGCAGCGGTCTCGAGTGAGATGCAGTCATTTATTTAACTAAGCACGCAGAGAGTCTGAGGAGCTAACACTAAGTAAGCTGGGAGATGTTTTGAAAGCAATGCAGAAAGTGGTTTGTGCCTTGAAACACAGAGAGGGGCATCTTGAGTGGCTGGAGATTGAATGGGAAGGAGCTTCTGAGGTGTTAAGAGAAATCGAGGGGGTGGAAACTTTTATGAGAGTCAGGGAAATACAGAGAAAGCTCTGATAAGGGCTGCAAATGCCATAATGATTATGGAGTCAGTGTCTCATGACCACGAAAGAGTACATAATGATCTTCAAGAGAGTCTGCCACGGACTCCCTCCACAGCCTGTGCAGTAGCAAAAACAGCTGTGAAGAGGTCCGTGTGAGGCCTGGATTAAAGCTACTCTTGCAATGCTTCAAAGTTTAATTTCTGCAACCAAAAAAGAAAATGTAAAAGTGAGCTTCCAAAGAAGCAAAAAAAAAAAAAAACCAAAAAAAAAAAAAAAATTCAAACCTATATACAAATCATTGGAAAAAACCTTCTGGCCACTCTCTTAACCACTTATTCGAAAGCAGAAGGAAGCCAGCCTAGAGTTTCAGCTCTGCTGGTGTTTATCTAAAATAGGATAAAACACTGTGTGCCCGCGATTCAAATGACTTGAGAAAACACACATTAATTGAATACCTACAACCGCAGTGTGAGAGATTCTGGTATCAACGAAGAGGTTTTACAATAATTATAGGATTTAAGGTTTTATGGGGATTTATGGTCCTTCAGTGAGACCCTCTGGAGACAAGGTGAACTACATGGTGAGAGTGAACAGCCCGCCAGCCTTCCATCAGTAAAATGGGTAGAGTGTCTGCCTTAAAGGGTTTCTGCGAAGTTAAAAGAGGTAATAGAAATAGAGTAGTGACCCCAGTGTCCAGTATGCAGTGATAATTTAATTTTTAGTACACCTCACAGTGCTCTCACGCACATGCACACAGGCATACACGCATATATGCACACCACACACACACACGTGTGCACACAACATAGACATGCAGGCACACACAACACATGTGCACAATACACATATGAATGCACACACGTACACGTGCAAAGCACACCTGCACACAACACATATATGCTTGCACACACATGACATGTACACACATGCAAACACACACACAGAACCTATTTATGCTCGCACACTTAGGCACATATGTATATGTGCACACAGGACACACACACAGGCACGCACATACACATTCGTATTTAGCTCTTGTTCTGTATCCCACGGGCCATCGCTATTTATCAAAGTAAACACAGACTTAAGACCTTCTGCTTTAATATCATTTTTTAACAGACTGTTAAACCCATTATAAAATTTATTTAAATTAAAATACTAAGTTATCCTTGCTGATAATATTTTGATAAATCTTTTTAAAAATTTTTTTATGTTTTTAAAAATTTTTTATTAAAAATTTTTTTAATGTTTAGTTTTGAGAGAGAGAGAGACAGAGCGCAAGTAGGGGAGGGGTAGAGAGAAAGGGAGACATAGAATCCAAAGCAGGTTCCAGGCTCTGAGCTGTCAGCACAGAGCCCGATGCAGGGCTTGAACTCACAAACCGTGAGATCATGACCCGAGTTGAAGTTGGATGCTTAACCGACTGAGCCACCCAGGTGCCCCTATGTATTATTTTTTTAAAAGAGAGACAGAACACCAGTGGGGGAGGGGCAGAGAGAGGGAGACACAAAATCGGAAGCAGGCTCCAGACTCTGAGCTGTCAGCACAGAGCCCAACGCGGGGCTTGAACTCACAGACCTTGAGATCATGAACCAAAGTCGGATGCCTAACCTACTGAGCCACCAGACGCCCCCATTTTGATAAGTCTACGGCTGTTTCCCCCATATTTAGTATTCTCGGGCAGAGTCAGCCCTTGGCCAAATGGGCAGTTGAAGCTGGTCTGTCGGCCGCCCCCTTCTGCTTTTTCAGCACCTCCTCCCTTCTCTAGGGGATCTTACTTCCCTTTTGCTGTCACCACCCACCCCCGGTCCCGACAGACGGCCGACCAGCCCGAGGCCATGTCAGCGAGCCGGTCCCAGGTTGGGCACTTGCTGCCGAGAGCTTGTGGCACCCGTCCCCCGCCCCGGTCAGGCGACCGAAGACCTCCCAGAGCCCTCAGAGCTCCAGGGCAGAGGTGCGGCGGGAGGGGTCTGCCGAAGGCTCCCGTTGGGGGCGGCCGGACTGCCAGACTGCCGCCTGGCTCCTCCTAAACTGCGGTGGGTGGACGGGCACCCTTTCCTCGGCTTCCTGGGCGTGGTCTTTGTTTTTAGGGGACAGATTATCAGGTGTCCTCCTCATTTGTGAACAAGCCAACCAGTTAGCGGTTATTCTGGGACTCGGGCCTGCGGTACTAGGAAGCCACGCTACTTTATCGCGATACAAATGTAAGTTAATATTTTAAACACTATTTTAAAAAATGTTACTCTGGTAACATTAAATCTTTCTTTAGGTAACAGTTTCTTTTCACGTGCGGTCACAAAATTTTTGACGCGTTAACACGGGAGACTGTGATCATTAACCACACGTCTACACGCCGTCTGGAGATTTTAGCACATTGGCTTTTCACTTAGAGGGCGATATATTTTGATGGTTTCAAAGTTTAAATGCGGAAGTCACGTGACATTTGACCTATCATCACGTGCCTCTAAACCAGGAAGGCGAGCCCCACGCAGGCGTGTCTTCGAGCGAGAGTTAATTTCTGAGTCGGGCCTCCCTGAGAAGAGAGTCGGTCAGGCGTTAGCTCGAGGCAGCATCGTTTGTGTTCCGTGCGGTTTCTGAGTGGCTGGAAACACTCCGGGTTAGAGACTGAGGACGCCGCACGATGCCTGAGCTGGGTGACACTCGTGCCTCGGTGGCGTCCCTCTCACGCCCACCGCGTCAGGCACCGTCAGCCCTGGCGGAACTGAGCTACCTGCGAGCTGCAGATGTACCGGAGCTCAGCCCTCTCTGTGAATGAACTGATGGATAGCTCCTCTGGGCCAGCTTTTTCCAAAATGTTTTCCAAAGAACACTGGCCCTGAATCTGTGGGGGAAGTAGGTTCAGGAGATTGTGTCGGCTCACACAGGGCCAAGAGCCATCGACGACACACTGCGATGTAAGCACCCAAGGGGACGGGGGTGGTTAGTGGCATTCCCCAAACTGATTTAACCACAGAGCGGTCTCTTCCCTCTTCCCTTCCTTTTCTCTTTCCACCCTGAGCCTTGCTGGGGACTCGCTTTTGAGGTCTGCTCTGTTCCAGGGACTGGGTCACCTGGTGCTGGAATTCCCCGGGGAAGGAGCAGCTCCCGCACGGGAACGTGGGTGACAGTAGTGTGCAGGGTGTGAGCTCCAGCTGCCCGGCGGTCGGAGCACATCCCCAGGGCCTGACGCTCTCACCCGCATCGAGCTTTTCTAACAACTCAGAAGACCCAGGCGACCACCAGGCCCAGAGAAACATCCCTTCCCCGGGGGCCCCAAACCACTAGACGCAGTGCACTAAAAATGGGCTTTGGTTACGAATTAGCACAAGGTGCGGTGGAAAGTGTGTGTGAAAACATTGTTCTCAAGGCCCCAGTTGGTACCCACTCACCGTACAAATGGAAGATCCCTGGCGCCTAGTTCCCATCCTCCCGCGCCATCAAATCGGGTTTCTCTGCAGTCAGAAATGTGGGTACACAGGAGCCGTCTGCTTAACAGCACGTTCAGACAGGGACCCCCAGGATTCTCTCCTGTGGCAAATGCCATTAACATACTTCCAAGGACGGCTGGCCCAGGGTCCCGCTCCCTGGCGCCCCCGCTGGAAGGGGCCTGTTGCAGCCTCCTTCCTTTCCAAAGGGCTCTAGCGCTAGAAACGCTGACTCGGAGGACCCGCCGCCTCGCACCTCCTCATCTTCCGCACAGACTCACCGCGTGTGCTCGACGGACAACCACCTCGCGAGGGAGCCCGTGCCGTCCTCGCAAACTCTCCCTGAGGCCGGGTCGCAGGGTGTTTGTGTGACCTCTGCTTGCTGGGGGGAGGGTAAGGCTGGCCCTCGGTCACGGGACAGCCTTGCGGGAGAGCTGGTGACGTCTTTCCTACCTGACCCTTCCTTGTTTTTAGCCGAGGGGGCTTCCGTTCGCATACACGGTCGTTCCTTATCCTCCTCAGGGCCGTGGCTCTGGCTCATTCCAGCCGGACATTTTCCCACTCACACTTACTCCAAATTCCTCTAAATCCGACCAGAGCGGAGTGGGTGTGGAACTGTCACCTACCTCACTGTAAACCCTCTAGGGTTACTGATTTGGCCTAAGAAAGTAGACAAATGACATTTCACAGGATGCATGCAATGGGCACCGTTTTGGTTTTCGATCGCTGTCAGAACGAAGCTAGCGGCTTAGCCAGCACACACTTGGTACCTTACGGTTCTGTAGGTCGGGCGTCGGATGCCGTCTCACAGGCTGACGCGGGCGTGTTGGCACGGCCTGTGTTCCTTTCGGACTTTCTACGGGAGGACCAGCTCTTCGTGGCTGCAGGGGTGAGGTCCCCGTTTTCATGCTGGCTGTCAGTGGGGCCAATCCCTGCTCGCAGAGCCCCCTCACCTGCTGGGTCTTCGAAGCAACGACGGACTGAGTCCCTCCATGCTTTGAACCTCTCTCTCCCTCGTCCCTCTCGGCTGGGGAAGCCCCCTTTTAAGGACGCTCAGC